GCTGAGTGATGCAAAGAGGGCAGAATGGAGAGAGAATCTGGCCCAGAGACATCTGAATATCCATCATTGCCTTCTATATTATGGGCAACATTTTCAAACTTGTATACCTAGAGTTAGAGACACACAGTGGGTGAGGTAATATCTTTTACTGGATCAAATTCTGTTAGCAAAAAGAGATCAACTCGAAAGCTTTCTGTTCCACCAACAGAAGTTGTTCCAATAAAAGATATTACCTCACTCACCTTGTCTCTCAAATATCTTGGGACCAACACGACTACAACAGCACAGCAAATAACTAGAGTTAAGCACCTAAATCCGTATTTAGGCACCAAATCAGTAGCTTGGTTTTCAAAAGGAGCTGAGCTGTTCAGAAAAGTCAGGCTTCTTATTTAAAAGCTAACTTTAGACAGCCAACTTTCAAAATACTGGCCTCTAGATTTTGTTTGAAATTTTCTCTATAGTCCTAGAGTGGCTGTTTTTATAACTGAAACCCACATTTACTTATTTTGTTAACATTCTTACAGTATCTTTTTCACATGAATCTCAATTGACTTTTTACCCAATATATTTTAAACATTCTATTAAGCTCTGCTTTTAAAAGTCCTTTACAGCATTTATGTCATGCCTGTTTTATGCTACCTCTGAATTTGTTTATGTGTATTCTATCTTATCCACATCTTTTCCCAATTTCATTTCCAGATATAAAACAATTATGCATCTCTCAAAATTCCCTTTAATCCCATCCATAAGTATACGTTTAAAGTACCTAATCTACTGTATACTGGTTTTGATAAAGGAACATCTACATTTGTAATTAGAGAAGTGGGAGTTGAAGGGTAAGATGAAAAAGCAGAGGAGATTAATGATACAATTTAAAAGGACCAGCATTTTGGTTCAGACTTTTCTTGCTCTTAATATTTCTTATGCTCTGGTCTGTAAATATTCCCCAATTCCCCTTATAATTAAAGATTGAAATTCTGGCCGACCTTCCATGGAATTCTTCTGGGTTTTGGGCATGATTCTCGGCTTTGCCTAACTCTGGAAATACTACATTGAAATACCCACTACATTGTGTAGTTTTACAATATCAACATCCAGGGAATGGAAAAATAGCACACAGATCTTGCCAATCTTCTGAAAGCAAACATCTTGTGTGTGTGTGTGTGGGGAAGGGGGGGTTCTGAAGTTATAGCAGGGTCACACAAGATAACAAAGTAATGTCACTTTGTTTTGCAAGTGTCTCTAACTTTGCAGAATTTAGTTTAAAATTTGAAACTATGAAAAAAAATCTGGGGAATCCTCCATCCAACCTTCCTATTACTTACATGGTGAGAGGAAAAGCCATTTGCTGATATTGTTTGTAGATCTGGGTGCAAAACTAATTGTGTTGTAAGAAACACAATCACAAGATTTCTCTTGAAAGTAGAACTGCATCCCGAGCCCAACTTGTAAATTCTTCCTCACCCCTCTGAATATTATAGGCAATGAATAGCACGCGAAGTTAAAGAGAGAAAAGCGTTGTTTTACACTAGGATTTTCTAATTGCTCATGTTAGTACTGCAGTTTTTTGTGTAAGTGAATGTCACACTGTAACATCACCAAAAACTACCCAGGCCTTGCCTTTCAACTACTGAGATTTTTTTTCTTGTAACTCTCCTCTCTCTCTTTTCTAGTCATTGATTTTTTTTTATTTTGCAACTCAAGTTCAATATCAGTTATTAAACAATGAACTAAAGCTACTTTTCGAGTTTAATAAACCCCAGTTCTTCCTTCATTTTAGTAATCGGCTCCTATGGATTCATGATTAAATCTGCCCAATGGCCTATTCAATTACAGCTTCTCATTAAGGGTCTTCCCAAAGTAACAATGTCTGCAGAACAACCAAAGAACTTTTCTCAAGGAGACCAAAAGCATAATCTGTTTTGAAAGTGATGTGAAATAATGGAAGGGTACAGGCTGCAGAAGTGGGGTCTTCATTATATTACATAGGAGGTGATAAGCTTGGTTTTGGCCACGTAGTTGCACATACATTATAGTAGCACCCAAAACATGCAAAGCGGAGTACAGGCATATAGGAAGACTGTCCTTGCTCAACAGTCTAATGGTAGTCATGACTCAACAAGTGACAGCTACTACAATAGTGGCTAAATAGAAGAGCAAAGGTTACAAAAATAAGGTAAGCTACTTGGCTCTCAAAGAACAGTTATCCAGTCTCTAATGAAGCGCTGTGAGTTTTGCACTACCTGCAGATACAGAACATGATCTCTGGTACCACATATCGGTCTTCCTTTGGGCCTCTAAACTAGGGCTGTCGATCAATTACTGTTAATGCCTGTGATGAACTGAAAACAAAATTAACGCTTTATTTGTTAATGCATTAATCGCATTCTTCTGGATGGGGAGAGGCATCGGCGGTGGTGGGAGGGAGGGGAGGCTGAAGCCCCAGCATGCAGCTCCACAGGTGGGCTGAAGTGCTGGGCTGGAGCCCCGCACCCCGAGGGGGAGCTGAAGCCCTGAGCCCCATATGGGACTGGAGCCCCGAGCCCTATGGGGGATGAAGCCTGGAGCCCCGAGTGGGACTGGAGCCCTGAGCCCTGAGCAGAGCTGAAATCCAGGGCCCTGAGCCTATCTTTGAAAATATAGAAAATATCCAAAAATATTTAAATAGATGTTATTCTATTATTGTTTAACAGTGCGATGAAAACTATGATTAATTGTGATTTATTTTTTTAATTGTTTGACAGCCTGTCACAGGGTCCGCACAGGTTTCTACCTTCTCGCCCTGTGCCCAGGCTGGTAAAATAAGAGTTCTCACGCCTTCTTCTGGTGTTTCACCCTTGTGCTTTATTTTACAGTGCCACCGTGAAGCCCCCTTTACCCCCCAACAGTTATCCCTTTTCTAACCCGTTCCAGGGTCTCTTGGCCCTTGAGGCTCCCTTCCTCTGGTGAGGAGACAGAGCTGTAGCCTCCTGTCCCCTCCTAGGCTAGCCCCCCAACTGAGTTTTGTTCAGGGCTATTAGAGCCCGCCCAGCCTTCAGCCCAGCTGTCGTTGCTTAGCTCAGTCTATTGCAGTGAGCCAGCCCTCGTTAGGGACCGCAGCTGGGCTCCCTGCTGGCTGCTTTGAGCCTCTGCCCCTGGCCTCTCTGCCCAAAAGCAGGGCTTAGCCAGCATTTTAGCAGGGCATTCAAGGGGTTTCACACCCCTGCCCTGCCACACAGCCCTACTCTAAATCTTCTATTATTTGTACCTTTCAATTGAGAACAATAGCAGGAAAGAAAACAATTTAAATAGTAATATGTCTATATGGTCCTGTTACTGGCTGAGAAGTTTGGATTATATTAATCTATTTTATATTTGTTTCTGTAATTCATGGCACCCAAATGACTGACAACTGGCTCCAATATAGATATCTAAAATATATAAAGAAAGATATGGGCACAGGATCAACAGAAAAATTAGTAATTTGCTTTCCTGCACACTGACACATTCTACTTTCCTGGCATACTCTTCAGTCGTTTCGCCACATGCCAGGCTAGCAGATGCTGCAGCTCTCTTGGTACTAGCTAGAGTTTTCCCTCAAACTGTTCTATATTGTCACATAATTTTAACTGCTCATTTCACCAGCACCATTTCATCATTTTTATGTCTCCATTTTACCTTCAGGGATATTTCTACGGTATCCTCAAATACAATATCTGAATCAGCCCAGAGCCTATATGATCTAAAAGAAATATCCCAAAGCAGTTAAATAAATATTTTTCTGCAATTCATTTTTACTTATTACTTTAGCCAACATTTATTCTTTAATATTCCCAGCAGCATGTGGCTTGTCCGCTAATAAAGATCTATACCAATTATATTATTTATAAGCTCAGTCAACTGTGGAGACCATCTTTCCTTTGGAAAACTTTTATGCATGCCAATTTGAGACCATATATCCAGCTCCTCACCCTACATGCTAAATTTAGAAGTGAATCAGAGTTGGACTTTTCATCTAGGTCTAGATTTTCATGCACATAGGGCCCTGTTCAGTAATTCTTAACAACAGTATTCCCATTGACTTAAATGGGCTATTTACATGGATGAGTACTATCTGAGTAAGTAAAGGATCTATAATCAGCCCCAAACTCTTGCCAGCTTCAGTGGGAGCCATAATCCTCCAGCAGCAGAATCTGGGCATCTGTTAATAAGTCTAACTGTACATGTTCCCATCAGTCAAGGCCGAAACACTTTATTTGTGAGGCAAGTTTTGACTCTACTCATAAGACGCTGCATTAATCTAAAACTAAATGATCCAGTTAAGCAAATCACATATTAAAATCAAACATGGAAGTCGTTCTCTTGGACATGTATTTGTATGACATGGATTGAGGCTGGGAGAAAAGAAAATAACCAAGATCTTATTTGAACACATTCACAGCAACACATAATTCAGGTCTAGATCACACACAAGGGTTGGGACTAGAACCCTTGACTAAAGCTCCAAAAGCACATGCTTCTAACACTTGAGCTAAAGAGCAACAGAGAGTCCTAAACTAATCCAGACTAACACGGCTACCCCTCTGATAGTTGGGCTAAAGAATCTCTCTAGCCACTAATATTAGTAGAAATTACCTTATTCTCTCAGTGGGGCTGCTACCAGAGGGCAATATTAGTCACTCACACACAATGACCCTGATCCTTTAACATTCAGCACAGAAACAGAGCTTCACTGAAGTCAATAGGCTCTAACTGGGTATGTGGGACAGCAGTATTTCTGTGTTGTGGGACCAGGGCCAAAGACAGTATATTACACTATGATGCTGAATAACCAATATGGTAGCTACTAAATATTCTATTGAATTATTTAAAAAATAATAAATCTTCTCAGTAAACTTTTAAATTCTATTCATTAACCTTTATTAGAGATAGCTAAGAATATTTTTGAAGAGTACCATATGTCACTCAGATAACATAGGAGTGGAGACACCAGAAATAGTTAAAATAGAGATTATATTTACCTTTCCGTCTTGTTAATGAGACTTGTTATCTGGCTTGCTGCTGTGTTCAAGAGAGAAGAGGCTTGGGAATCCCATAAATGAATATTATTTATTAGGTACTCTCTGTAAGCAAATCTTTTACTCAGATGATACTTCTTATTAGCCTGCAAAAAATCCATTAGCTCTTCAATGTCCTCCTATAGGAAAGAATGTGAACACATATGTCTAATTAGAAGTTATGTTCATTTTAACTAACATCTGAGAGAGTGCTATTTAGACCAGTTTTGTGCATTAGAAGAATAATATTAAACAGCCTTTACAAATGAAAAACAACAATGAACTTCCATACAAGCTAGTTAAAAGTATTTTAAATTAGATGATTATGTCAAGTTATTACAGTTGCATCAGTCTAACACAGTTTGTTGATCTTCGGGCCTGAACAGTCAGCTACTGAGCACAGTGCTTACTACCCAGAGTAGTCCATAGAGGTCATTGAGACTACTCAGGGTCCTGATTCAACAAGATACACCTCTACCCCGATATAACGCGACCCGATATAACATGAATTCGGATATAACGCAGTAAAGCAGCGCTCCGGGGGGGTAGGGCTGCGCGCTCCGGTGGATCAAAGCAATTTCGATATAACGTGGTTTCACCTATAACGCGGTAAGATTTTTTGGCTCCCGAGGACAGCGTTATATCGGGGTAGAGGTGTACTTGAAGCACATCCCTAAATTTAAGTGCACGACCAGTCCTGTTGACTTTAGCAGGAATACTCATGTGCCTAAACTAGGCACATGCTTGCTGAACTGGGGCCCAAGGGTAGTAAGCTCTATGCTCAGTAGAAAGCATATGCAGAGCCATGCTCTTTTTAAAAAAAAAAAAAAAACATTATCTTTCACTAGAGCAATTTTCACTTTAAGATAGAGTGTGAAATTTCCAAAAGTGCTTATGTGACTTAGGATCCTAAATCTAAGGGTCTAAGTCACTTAAGCACCTTTGAAGATTTTACTCATGAGTTTTAAAAACAGGCCAAGTTTTATTCAGATTTGTAACGTAAAACCCGATTAGCCGGTACAGACTGCCTGAGTGAACATGCACAACTCCTATCATTATTGGGGATGGTTATGTACATGCATTAATAATTTTTGTCTAGACTTTAAATTTTCAAAATTAAGGGGCTGTAGTTTTGCATCTTATTTCTACTGTCAATCAGTTTAAAAGTGATAACACAGCAAAGCTCTGTGACGGGTTGGATCACAGAAACCCCCTTGGGGCTGCCAACTGATGTGCCAAGACTACTTCTGCCCCTGCTTTCTTGCCCTGGCAGCTTGGGACTTCAGTGCCCTGCCTGGTTTGAGCCAGACCTGCTAGCCTGCTGCAAACCCAGACCCAGGTCTGAACCACGTCCCCTAACAGCTGTAGGCTGAAACTGAGAGCAGCTTAAGAACTGTTCCTGTCTTTAACACTCAGATGCTCAACTCCCAATGGGGTCCAAACCCCAAATAAATCCGTTTTGCCTTGTATAAAGCTTATACAGGGTAAATTCATAAATTGTTCGCCCTCTATAACACTGATAGAGAGATATGCACAGCTGTTTGCCCCCTCCCTCCCCCCAGGTATTAATACATACTCTGGGTTAATTAATAAGTAAAAAGCGATTTTACTAAATACAGAAAGTAGGATTTAAGTCGTTCCAATTAATAGCAGACAGAACAAAGTGAATTACCAAGCAAAATAAAATAAAGCATGCAAGTCTAAACCTGATACAGTAACAAAACTGAATACACATAAAAATCTCACCCTCAGAGATGTTTCAATAAGCTTCTATCACAAACTGGACGCCTTCCTAGTCTCGGTACAATCCTTTCCCTTGGTACAGCCCTTGTTCCTGCTCAGGTGGTAGCTAGGGGATTTCTCATGATTGCAGCCCCCTTTGTTCTGTTCCACCCACTTCAATAGCTTTGGCACAAGGCAGAAATCTTTTGTCTCTCTGGGTCTTTCCCCCCACCCCCTAAAGGAAATGCTCCAGGTTTAGGAGGGATTTCAGTACCAGGTGACATAGTCACATTTCTTGTGAGACTCCAAGCCTTTATTCCTCCCAGGCTGACTCACAGGAAGGCCTGCCTGCAAACAGAGCCATCCACAGTCAATTGTCCTGGCTGATGAGAGCCATCAAGATTCCAAACCACCATTAATGGCCCACACTTTGCATAATTACAATAGACCCTCTGAGTTATACTTCATATTTCTAGTTCAGATACAAGAGTGATACATTTATACAAATAGGATGACCACACTCAGTAGATTATAAGCTTTGTAAGGATACCTTACAAGAAACCTTTTGCATGAAGCATATTTTAGTTACATTATATTCACACTCATCAGCATATTTTTATAAAATCATATAGAGTGCAACATCACAAGCTCTACAAGTGGAGATAATTACAGAAACATTTCACAAACATTACTATGTGATGGCTCTCTGTTGGGAAGTTAAGAGTGGAATATTTATGTCATTACCTGTATTTTAGAGTAATCCTGCACTAATGCTTTGGCTGCTTCTAACTTCAATTCTCCCTTGAAAATGGCATTTTTTATCTGAGTAAAAAAGACATTATGGAGCTCTGTTCTCTGGAAAATAGCCAGCTGTCGATAAGCTTTTGCAAAGTACTCCTCTTGCCTCACCGAAAGGAACCTCTTCATGTGGTTCTGCTCAAGTTTGTGAATTTTTTCCAGAAGACATCTGTATTCTGTAGCAGACTGGAAGAGGACAAAAAACAAAAACACACAAACCCAAATGATTACCAGTGTTTAATATATTTTAAAAGTACCAATATTACTGAGACTAAGGATTACAACAAGCTCACATGTATTCAATGCATACTATGCTCATTCCTCTTTAAGTGATCTGAAATGGGCAGCTGTTTTGAAATAACATAATATTAACATTAAATCATATTTTCAATATTCAACAGAAAAGCCAATGCTAGAAGATGAAGTTGTTCATCTATCCCTAACACAAAAGGTTACACATAGTCAACGAATAACCCAGATCACATTGCCAAAGCATAATGAAGACTTTTCGGAACTGAAGAAGTATCCTATAAAATTACTTATACAATTCTACTGCAATCCTTAAAAAGTTTTTACTAATAAAGTAGCATATACATTAACTTCAATGAGGCTTCTTGCACTTTGTGCAGCCAAGCATATGCTTAAATCTTTGGGGGAGCTGGAGCCTTAGACCATAAATGTAGTGCACTACCATTCATCAGCCAGTAGAGAGAGTACAATGTATCTCGCAAAAGTTCAGTCTGTGAATCCAGGTTCTAATAATGGCAGGATATCCATCACTACAGTATCAAAATAGTACCTGTGTGCCATCCAAGATTAAAAAAACAAACACAAAAACCACAAAACTGACATCTTTGTTTTCCTCCTGTGCTGGCAAGAAGCAGGGCTTAGGGCTTTGCAACTGTTGTTTTTAATCCTTTTCAAATTACTCAAATCAACACTTCTACTCTTCCACACACAACAGTGGGTTTATTTACTCTGTGAAAACTTGGAAAAAAGTGAATTTTGCCTATATGTTTTAATCCTATGCCACTGAACTCCCTAGGAGATTTGCCACTGGCTTCAGAGGGAGTAGGATCGAATCTTTAAAGCTGAATGTGGCAAGGTAAGTGGTTCCAAAGCTACCATATGCTGATGCACAAAAATCAAGGGAGCAGACAAAATAATGATAACTTCAAACTCCACTACAAAAAAAAAAAAAAAAAACAAGAATTTTTTTTTTAAGCTAAACAAAAATAATACTGTAGCTCCTATAAAGGACAATATAGACTATGCGATCATTGGCAAGGGATACATCTAGATCAGGGGTTCTCAAAACTGTGGGTCAGGATCACAAAGTGGATCACAACCTGTTTTAATAGGGTCACCAGGGCTGGTATTAGACTTGTTGGGGCCCGGGGCTGAAGCTGAAGCCCGAGCCCCATCACCTGGGACTGAAGCTGAAGCCCAAGGGTGTCAGCCCTGGGCAGCAGGGCTCAGGTTACATGCCCGCTGCCTGAGGCTGAAGCCCTTGGGTTTCTGCTTTGGCCCTCCCGCCTGGGGCAGTGGGCCTTGGGCTTTGGCCCCCCCAACCTCGGGCAGCGAGCTCAGGCTTTGGTCCCCATTCCTGGGGTCATGTAGTAATTTTTGTTGTCAGAAGGGGGTCACAATGCAATGAAGTTTGAGAAACATTGATCTAGACACAAGCTAGCTATAATAACATAATAAAATATTAATATGCATTTTGAATAAATCTGTTGTTTGGGGTAAAGCTTCATATAGATGTATGGGAGAGGGAGAGCATCACGACTCCCTTCCTGTTCATTAGTCAGATACATAACTCTGGTATTCACGTTTCTGAAAAATAAAGACGCTTGGCTTTTGCTTGTGCCTTATTAGCAATGTAAAGACATCTCCAAAGCTTACAACGCAAATGTTGTCAAAAGAATCAAACTTTCTCACAGTAATTTGTTGAGTGAAAATGAACAAATGATAGCTTACTTTTTAATCCAAATGAGTTATAGATTTAAACAAACACACAAATTTTTGGCTAGATGTAATGGTACAAAAAAAAGAAAAAACATTCTCTGCTTGTGCCCCTTTGTGGTCCTGGAATAGCAATGGAATCCACTGGCATGGACCACTGCACAGATTTCAATGCAGATCCCATTGAAATCACTGGAACTTGGAAGAGATGCAGGGGTCTGTTCTTTTAGGTTCCATTCAGAATCAGGGCCAATCTTTCTAAAACCAGAAATCCTGGTAGATGTAGTGGAATATATCTGATGCTCCTTGTACACGTGTTAAAAGGTAGAAAAACTTAAAAACTGAATTAGAGAGCAACTGTTCAATTAGAATTTGAATGACAACTAAACAGGTTGACAAGGTGGATGCGGTATTATCTTTTATTGGACCAACTTCTGTTGGTCAGAGAGAAAAGCTTTCCAGCCATCACAGCACTTCTTCCGGTTTGGGAAACACTCAAGAGTCTCACAGCTAAATACAAGGTGGAACAGATTGTTTAACATAAATAGTTAACACATCTTTCAAGGGACCATTCAAGGAAAAGTGTATCTCATCCAGTGCAGTAAATGCCCCAATAATAATGTGGGTGAAACCAGACAACCACTACTCTCTCCAGTGAACTCACACAGGAAAATGATAGAAGTCAAAAACACCCTATCACCTGTGGTGAACACTTTTCACAAAACAATCACTCAATAGCCGACCTCTCAGTTCTCATTCTCAAAGGAAATCTGCACAACTTCAAAAGACGACTCTGGGAGCTTAAATTCATAACTTTGTTAGACACTAACAAAGATGGATGGAATAGGGACACTGGATGTATGGCATATTACAACAATCTATAACCCACTAAAACCTCCAACCCCCCACCCCCAGCTGCTTTCCCCTCTCCTTCTGACTGGAGGGCTGTTAATGGGTCACTTCACCTTGAATAATCCCTTGAAATATGTGTTAACTACTTATCCTAAACAATCTGTTCCACCCTGTATTTAGCTGTGGCACTCTAAGGCTATGGCTACCCTGGCGCTTTACAGCGCTGCAACTTTCTCGCTCAGGGGTGTGAAACCCCTCCCCCCCTGAGCGCAGCAAGTTACAGCGCTGTAAAGCGCCAGTGTAAACAGTGCCCCAGCGCTGTAAGCTAATCCCCTCGTGGAGGTGGAGTATCTGCAGTGCTGGAAGACCTCTCTCCCAGCGCTGGCGCGTGACCACACTCGCACTTCAAAGCGCTGCCGTGGGAGCGCTCCCGCGGCAGCGCTTTGAAGTTTCGAGTGTAGCCACGGCCTCAGTACCTTTCCCAGACCTGAATAAGAGCTCTGTGTAAACTAGAAAGCTTGTTTCTCTGACCCACAAAAGTTGGTCCAATAAAAGATATCACCTCACCTACCTTGTCTCTCTAATATCCTGGGCCTAACATGGCTACAACAACCCTGCATACAACTAAATAATTGAAACATGCAATTACCTGCTTAAATGTATGACTCAACCTTGAGAACTGCCCAGGTTTCCTGCCCCGCACAATTTGTCATTAAAGTACAAAATAGATTTGGATATTAAGAGCCTTTGTTTAGACAAGCAAAACCCCATTACCACAACAGTGTAACCCAGAGATATCTTTGTGAAAATGTGCCCTCGTTAAAATCAATGATTACATTCCGGGGGGAAAGTTTCATTGTCTGAATTGCACAATCAATAAAAATATGCACCAGATAACAGAGGAAACAGGGACGCCCTTTAAGAGCCACATCTGAGAGTTCAGTTCAGAAATTGGGGGGAGGGATAGCTCAGTGGTTTGAGCAGTGGCCTGCTAAACCCAGAGTTATGAGTTCAATCCTTAAAGGGGCCACTTAGGAATCTGGGGCAAAATCAGTACTTGGTCCTGCTAGTGAAGACAGGGGGCTGGACTCAATGACCTTTCAAGGTCCCTTCCAGTTCTAAGAGATAGGATATCTCCATTAACTTTTTTTTATATATATAAATTACTAGTGGCTGCTCTGGGAGATACTCAAGCCTCAGCCAAGAATACACATCAGAAATAAAATCCAAGGCCTGCTTCCTCCCACACCCATGGAATAATAGGAAAATGGTAAACATTTTAGAGTGGGATTTTCATAAGCACTCAACACAGGCCTCACTCTGCACCCAGCAGTTAAGCTAAGCTGAGCACTTCTGAAAAATACCACCCTTAGATTTTTAGCCATCGTCTGAACCCAGAGACAAACTTACAGTGAGAGAGAGGACAGAAGGAGGGCTGATCCCATCCAACTAACCTCATGTTTCCTGTCTTAGCTAAGGTCTATATTGGCACACCAACCTTTTCCCTTCTGTATCTGGTCTCTCACCCACATTTCTCCATTTTGGATTGCTGCATTTTATTCCCCAGCAATGCCACTTTCCTCCACATTCCAGAGGAAAAGTGGAACGACATGAAATATAGTATCTCTAAAGCTGGTAAAGATTCTTTCATAGATTTTAGTACACTTTTCTCTGCTTCTATGAGTGCAAAGAGCACAACAGTTAAGGGGGGAGGAGGGAGGAAGGAGATAAATGGATCAGAACAAAAGCTCAAGGGTCTGGCTTTGAATTCTCTCCCCAGCGTCAATCCAGGATCTCTTAATGGCTCCCATCACTTGGGACTTCTAAAATCAAACTGGACAAAACACTAGAAAAAATACAATGTTGGAAAGGTAGCTGGGTCAGCTTCAACGAGAGGCAGAGCCAGCAAATTTCAGCTGAGTCCTTCTGCCTGCTAGTGTAAATATGTCAAAATGACAAGTGAACCCTTGCAAGAGTCACAGCTCATATACATATTTGTTCCTATGGAAGAGCTCAACGGGTCTGCACCACCCTGCATCCTCATTCAATACTCCTCCATACAATAGGCCTTGCATGAAACCCTTTCCCACCAACCCCTACACACTGCTATTATCTTTGGTGGGTCATTTTTATCACATTAACCATCATTTCTGCAAAAAATCTGTGTTATTAATTACCATAAAAGCACTAAACAACAACAAGTACACTGCATTCAAATAAAACATGATTTTTTTTTGTTGCTTATGCAAGCATGTGACAAAGAATTTAAGACACTATGGTGGAAGTTTGCACATCTTGGTCTGTGGGAATATGTTCCTAATATGAATTATTTTGTCTCTACAACTCACTGAAAAATGGGCAGCTTGAACAGCAGCAATATTACATTCAATACATAGGTATACACGTTCATGCAGGAAGTGCAGCACCGGTGGCAAATAATGAATTGTGTTGGTTACTCCTTCTGAGCCATCTTCTTAATTGAAGTTATGAGGTTTGATAAATATGAAACATTAATTTGGGGGTTTTCTTTTTTAAGTAAAAGGGGTGAAATGTACAAAGACTACTGGAATTCTCACTAGGCAGCTGCAATAGCAAGAAAATAAAAACAGTGTGGCCTGAAACCACAGGAAAAAAATAACATTTCATACAAATTGTTATGTTACTTTCATACCTGATTTACCTTCTCATTCAATCGCTTGATTAATTCTTCAGCCTCATCATTTGCAGCTCTCTCTCGTTGGTGCTGAACCTCCATTTCCTTCCTAGTCTCTAGATTACATTCGGCGGTTAAAGCCACCATCTTCCTTGTATACTCCTCCTGAACTTCATTCTCCATTGCAAAAAACTGCTTTTTGAGAATTGAACCTATCCTTTTCTCCACATTAGGAGAGAGATTGTGTCTGAAAACCATGTTCTTCATCAACATGGCAATCACCTCTTTGCACATCTGCATTCGATATGCTTCCAGATCAGCATCTGCACGAGTCAGGTTTGCTACCTTCAAGCTGTAAAATATAGTTAGGAGTGCTTAGGGCTTCAGATGACACACAATTCCCATCACAAAAAAAAGTTAACTAGCACCATTAGATTTTATACTACTGAATGGCATTCAGATCAGAGCAGGAAGATCACACAGTATTAGTCTAATAATAATAATAACACAAATTTGTCAGAGTGAGTCAATTTCAATAGCGTACCTTTAATGGAATCTTACTATTTTTAGATTTCCATTAATAGTCAATAACAGAAAGGAAAAGAGAAATGAAAGAAAGATATTTTTAAAACATTAATATATCTCTCAGATTAAAAGCAAACAAAAACATCCTACAAATGAATGCTGTGAAGAGAAATACATTCCTAGCAGATCAAATATTTTAGTGAGTGTAAACTGCACAGACTTTATGAAATGGTTCCAAACTCACTATCCACCCACAGTAATACAGGTCTTGCCTGAAGTATTTACGCGTCTCTGAAAGCACCACAGGGAAAAAAAAAAAAGCATGTGTTTTGATTAGTAGTTGATAAAACAAATTAATATAGCCATTATCTCTTTCACATGGAAATTAATCTAGTTCCAGAAAAGAGATTAGCAACACAGAGACAAATAATATTTTCTACAAAAGGCAATAGGCAATAAATATCATGCTGCATGTGAAGAGACACTCATTTGTCACTGGAGTTAATTAATTCAGAAGGACAATTATCTTTTACAGCATATATCTTTTCTAAATGCCCTGCCTCTGTCATTCCTGCACTAGTTGAAAGTCAATTCAGTATTAGAGAAATGGATTTCTTGCCCTTGCATGCCACTTTGCATGAAAAGATAGCACTGTATGCTTTTGCACACAGACTATAAGTAGATTTTAATATACTATCACTTCTACGTGATTGATGACGTAAGTCTTGAACACATATTTGCAGCTTAAATCTGGTTAAGTGTGACTGATATAAAAATTAAACCAAAATAAAAATAAAATGTATTGCACATAATAAACATTTTGTCCAGTTATGGCAAATTACTGGTTTGATTGGTTCTTCAAGCTAAATCTTTGATAAGTTTCAAATGAGACAGCGGAGACCCTGGAAAAGTTTGCAACATGTTTACTGTAATAATAAAATGCAGCTGTTTTACCTCAAGGAGCCTAAGTATTAAATCCTACAAACTGTTCAGCCTGTTCCTCAAGCAATTCTTCATTTAAAAAAAAAAAAAAAAAAGATTTTAGTGTTTGTGAAAAGTAGTTGATCAACAGGACCTGAAAGCAAATTCCTCCATTTATCCACTGAACAGGTACAGAATTGGCACCAACCATGTCTCAACTGAAGGGAAGGGGCTAGTTCAAGCTCTATAACATTCAGTCCTTGGTCTCCTCTTTGCAAATACTACAGTCAGTTGTACAATCGGTGCACGCCAATCCCCATGGAATTAGATGGTGCCAATGACCTTATTTCACTCATATATTCAGAGTATCAAACATGTTTAACTCTCCAAATATGGTTTCTTACTCTTCAGAGGATTCTGCAGAAACAACAGGTTTGCAACACCACACACACACACACACACACACACAATGTTTGTGTGCATACATGAATCCCCCTCGCCACTCCTCGAACTCAAAAAATAAAACTATGTTAGAAGAACATTACAGTTATAAAGTCAAGCACACAAAAGATAGGAAATACTGAAATTAAGGATGCTTGTGCAATAGTTTGTGATCATGTAATTAAAGACTGCACATAAATCATATACACAAGGGGGTTGAATTATCTTCCTGCTCTGAATTCTGGCACTCAGGGCCACAGCATTGGCTGGCCACTGAGAGAAGCAATTGTATGAAAAGTTCTGGTCCAGCCCCTGCAGCCCCAGGATGAAGCATGATCAGTTGCTCTGTGGGATTGATACATATACAGTCTAGTCAGCACATAGGAGCTATGAGGGGATGGAGCATGCTCGGTGTAGATGGAATCTTCAGAGAATTTAGCTGCCAAACTCTAATAAGTCTCCACTGAGCATATGCAAACAGATTTGTAGAGGTTTATAATTTGGCCAAAATTGGGCACATTTTCAAAGGGACAGCAAAAAGCACATTCTTGACACAAAGCCACTTCTCTGCCAAATTTCATGTCCATGCTCCAAAGCAGTGGCTTTTCACCTTTCCAGACTCCTTCAGGAGTCTGATTTGTCTTGCGTATCCCAAGTTTCACCTCACTTAAAAACTACCTGCTTACAAAATCAGACATAAAAACACAGAAGTCTCACAGCACACAATTACTGAAAAGTTCCTTACTTTCTTATTTTTACCATATAATTATAAAATAAATCAACTGGAATATAAATATTTACTGTACTTACATTTCAAAGCATTATATATATCATAAATAAGTTATTGTCTGTATGGAATTTATTTTGTACTGACTTCACTGGTGCTTTTTATGTAGCCTGTTGTAAAACTAAGCAAATATCTACATGAGTTGATGTACCCCCGGAAAACCGCTGCGTCCCCCCCCCCAGAGGTACGTGTACCCCTGGTTGAGAACCACTGCTCCAAAGCATGGGGGGGGGGAGCACGTGAGTTTCTCAATAAAATAGTTATGCAATTTTTTTTAACATAGACGAAACAAATATTTTTCTCTAGCATCATTCTTGGAAAGGAGGAAGCCACTTTTGCTGAAATTTTCCAAACAAATTCAGCCTTGGGCAGAATCCCAGCATGAAAAATTTCAGCCCAAAAATAGTTACAGTTTGGCAAAGTTATACAACCCCGTTTTCAGATGCTTACAATAGGATGCATCGAGCAACCTCAGCTATAGGCATTGCTACGTGAGCCACCTAAAATATCTTTGATTTCTCTTGAAAATACAGCAGAAAATAGGTAATTCCCACAGTCTATTTCACGCTTCAAAGCGACTGGGCAGATTATCACTACTTAAAGGTCATGCTAACTTGGCCAAGGCTATGAATGCTACATTAGGTTCTATTATAATCTGCGATTAAAAAAAAAATCCCCAGTAAGAAAATTAAATTTAAAACATTCATATATTTAACCCATTATTAGTTCTTTATCTGCTCAAAAGCTATGAGCTTGTCTCATATACATTTCTTTTCTAGCTATCTCTCATCCTATTTTCCTCATCAGAGGGGTACAGTGCAGCCAAGGCCAGCCCCTTTACCTTGTACCCAAACTCCTGGTGTGGGGTCATGAATGCAGGGGTGATGAATTGGTTGTCATACAAATGTACAGCTGCAGGGCTGTAAACTCTCCACATCTCCTACTGCTCTCTCTTCATTACCACTTCAGTATTCTTCTGAGGTGCCGCAAAAGAAGCCCTACACTCACCGGCTAGTGAGATCTGACAAGAGTACATCCCAGTGAGGTACGGCTGCAGGTATATTGTTCTCACAGTAACTGCCTCTTGTGCTTTACCACAAGATCTTTCACTGTGTGAATGCTTTAAAGATTCTTTGTAAAACACACACGCAAGAGGATTGTGTTAAGGGCACTGTATGAAATTTATCTCTGAAGTGCACAGATTTCGTGTGACTAAATCTCAGGGTACTGTGGCACCTTATAGACTAACAGATGTATTTGGGCATAAGCTCATTTTCACTCCATGCATCTGAAGAAGTGGGTTTTTTACCTACGAAAGCTTATGCCCAAATAAATCTGTTAGTCTTTAAGGTGCCACCGGACTCCTTGTTGTTTTTGTGGATACAGACTAACACGGCTATCCCCTGATACTTAAATCTCAGGGTAACACTGTAGGATTGCCCCTTTGCTAATCAGATTTTGGGGCCTTCTAGGTCAGTTTCCCATTTGATGCAGAAATTGGTGAGCCAAAGTCTGGGTTTTTTCTTAGTGTAATTTGAATATTTACAAATGATACACAAGTCATGTTTCCTCCAACAGAAGTGGCCACAAACTACATGTGGACAGAGACACAAGCTAAGATATTACAGGTCTATCATAAATTGGCAGCTGAGCTTCTGTCTCTCTTGGAGTCTCCTGAAATCCCTCCTTCTCTTCAACACATTATTCTACATCCCTCTCTTAGCCTCTGGGCTTTCCACCTGGAAATCCCTTTAGCCCAAACCTGCTCACTTAGGACCACATGGCTTCAAAACATAAGCATTGTGTCAACCCTTCCTTTGTGCAGCTGCTTTGCAATACAAAGAAAGCATGGAAAAGATCAGACTTCCCAGACAATGGGTGCTTTGCCCCTCAATGACTGCCTGTGCAATGCCTTTCATCTTGAGTGTCTCTACATCAACTCATAACATGCATTGTATTTGTACTTTTCTGCATAGCAACATGAACGTAAGAATTTTTTAGCATATGATTGTAAGTAACAACAGTACAAATTGCAACCGAACTAGTAGAAGACAAAAGATAAGGGAGAGCTTTAGCTTTGCACCTCCCATCTCCACTCCCCAGGCAGAGCAATTGGGCAGGCACACAGTGGGAGGGAGAAAGAAGTGAGCTACTCCACAAAATGGAGCAAAATAATTTATTACCCCTACCCCTCATCCACCATGGGTGGGGCGATAACAAGGAATGAACTGAGTCACAACTCCTCCCAGGGTAGCATGGACATACCATATTCCAGCGGTGGCCAAACCGCGGCTCTTTTACAGTTAAAGTGTGATTCCTGGAGGCCCCACTTCATCATTTTCCATCTACCAGACGGCGGGAGCGGGGCTTGGAACTTCTGCCCTGCGGCAGGGTGGTGGGGCTAGGGACTTCTGTCAGAGACGACTGCTGCCTGCTAAGAGTGGGGGGAGGGGGCACAATTTAAAGGTTCGGCCCATCCAATAGCTTGAGTCACAAACCCCCAGCAGCCCCTCCCTTTAGCTCCCAGGTGTTAGCTCTGCATAGAAAGACCTCTGCTTTAGCACCTTGGCGAGAGGCATCAGCAAAAGCAGCTGAAGCCTTGAGCCAGGGCAGGTGCCTCCCACGGGGCTGAAGCTCCGAGCCCCCTCTCCCCGCAACGCTGAAGCCCCGGCAGGCGC